CTTTGGAAAGTGGCACCTGCATTTTTCAAACCGAAGGGCATAACGATATAGCAATATGTACATGTTTCAGTGACGAAGGCGGTTTTCTCCTAGTCATCTGGATGTAGCTGAATTTGATGATATCCGCTGAAGGCGTCCATGAATGACAACATTTCATGTCCTGCTGTCGCATCTGCTAACACATCAATGTGAGGCATATGGAAGGAGTCCTTTGGGCATGCTTTGTTCAAATCTGTAAAGTCGACGCACACCCGCCACTTTGCTTTCTTGCCTTTTTTCTTTCCTTTCCTTTTTTTGTACGACGACGACATTGGCTAGCCAGTCAGGGTATTTGACCTCTCTAGCTTTACCGGTGCGCAGCAGTATCTCGACCTCTTGGTTGACGATTTCATTCCTTTCTCTGGCGAATCGTCTCCTTTTTTGCCGGACGGGTTTGTGTGACTTGTTGACATTCAGCCTGTGAGTGATGATTTTTGGGTCGATTCCCGTCATATCGTCGTGACTCCATGCAAAAACATCTCTATGTTCTTTAAGGAAGTCAATGAGCTCGCTTTTCAGGTGTTCTGGCACGTTCCTCCCTATGCGGACGACCCGTTCCGGATGATTGGGATCTATGACGACATCCTCTACCCTGTCGTCGTCTTCGTCATCAGGAATGGCATCGCCCTTTAGTTGCTATGCTGAGGCAGTTGGTGTTGCAGTGGACTTCATTGCTGTTTGGTAACATGATTTTGCGGCTGTTCTGTCTCCCTGGATTGATTGCACTCCCCACGGTGTTGGGAGTTTGACAACTTGATGATAGGTGGACGGAATTGCCCCCATTTGATGTAGCCATGGGGTCCCCAGGATCATGTTGTACGCGGGCAGCTCTTGGACCACATCAAACTTGACCTGCAAATTAAGACCATTTGTATATATGGGTAATGACACGTTACCTAAAGTTCGGCTTGGTTCCCCGTTGAAGCCGATCAAGGTTGTTCCAGAGTTTGTCACGTCCTCTTCTTTGTAGCCCATTTGTCCCAACATCTTCATTGTAGTGATGTTGGCGGTGCTCCCGTTGTCAATGAGGACTCGGCGTATGATGCACACTAATTAGTAGTGCATAATTACATGTTTTTTATGTTTGATTTATGTTAATTGTTTGACGTTTTATTTAGTTTGTAAACATTTATGTGATTTCAGTTGTAATTGTATTTTAGTCTTTATTTGTAAGTTGTAAAGTTTAGTTAGGATTTGTGGTGTTGGAAAGGAAGACTTTGAAGTGAAGAAAAAGAAGATTTGGCTGCCCAGGAGCAAATACCCGACCGGGTATAACACTTGACCCGGTCGGGTAAGAAGTGAAAAACGAAAATGCAAAGAAAGTGCATGGCCCGGTCGGGCCCACTACCTCACCCGGTCGGGTGAGAAGTGACCGGGGACAACCCGGTGTGCAAAGATCACCAGAACGTGGGGAAATATCTGATTTTGACCGGACCCGGTCGGGTGAGTACTTGACCCGGTCGTGTACCCGGCCAAAGGTGTTGAAAAATACCTATAAATAGCACATTTTTTCTTCACAAAAAATCATCCTTTCTTCCATACACTTTAGCTCAGTTTAGAATAGCATTTCTTTATATTTTTCTAGCTATGTTTAGTCTCCAAATGAGGAGCTAAACTTCCATTCTTGGTGTTGCTCTTGAAGCTTGTTGATTATTAAAGTTGTGAGTTATTTTCTTAACTTGTTTCCTTGAATATTAATTAATAGTTCTTTCCCTAATATCATCTCTATATTAATGTTGGGGAGTGTTGCTAAGATGACAATTAGTTAACATCTCGACATTAGTTAGAATGGTATTTTCTTCCTCTATATTAATGTTGGGGAGTGTTGCTAAGATGACAATTAGTTAACATCTTGATATTAATTATAGTAGGATTCATCTTATTTAATAATATTCTTCCTTGAATATTAATTAATTCCTACTCATATTTCATATTAATATTTTGAACATTACTTAAAGGATCAACTAGTTTTGTTTCATATATTAATTATTACTAGAAACGATCAACGAACCGATGGTTAATCGTTGATGGTTTCATAAGTAAGTAACTTCGGTTTATTAATGCACGGTCGTGGTTAATAAACTTAAGATGGATTAATTTTGTTGGTTAAACCGAAACCGTTGTGTTGAGGTTATCAATCTCAATTGATTTCATCAAGGAGTTAGAAAGATTAAATGCTACTATTAAATCGGTATAAGGCGTTGTTCTATATTTGATTAATAGTAAGGGTTATTAATGAACGGTCGTTGTTAATAACTACCCTCGATGAAGTGGATATACTCCCCGATTGAGTATTCGAGAGGGAATAAGTTATAGATATAACGATGATCGACTAAAATATATCAACAAGTGGAAAGTAGCAATGCCAAGTCCTTTTTATCTTTGAATTAAATCTCATATAGGTTGTTCATCTTAGTTTCTTAATTAAATTAAATCACTCAAAACCAAACCCCCCCCTTTTAATTACTAGTTTCATAAAAAGAGAATCATTCCTTTCCCTGTGGATACGAACTCTACTACGCTATACTACGTATAAGTGTTTAGTATTGAAATTATTTTGACGCACCGTGACAAAGTGCTCGTCAGCGTACCTCGCAGTTGGCCACCCGAAGTGAAATAACCAGAGCATCATGATGGATGTCGGCTGGGTCCACTCTATCAGATTCATCAAAGTTAATTGGCACATTCTTCCAATCCTCTTCGCGTTTGGTAATTCGACAGACCTGTGACGACTTGTCTCGGGAGTATTCCCGAGCATGTCTCTTGGCTGCAGAATACGTTAGTCCTAATAATTCGGAACCGCCATTAATAAAATTTATTACCTTGTGAGGGGCAGAGGGCGATGGTGGTCGCTGTCCGGATGTTGACGACTTTGGATCTCGATGCAGGAGGGCCTTAGTTTGCTCGGACATTATTTCCGTGAGATATCCATTGCACAATAGATAAGTGACTTCTTTCCTTAGGGCGACACAGTCCTCGGTGTTGTGGCCGATGTCGTCATGGAAATCACATCTTTTGCTGGGATCTCGTCGTCCTCCTGGTTTGTCAGATTTCCTGGGCCATCGGACCTTCTCGCCTATTTTATCCAATGAGCTAATGAGTCCGGTGGTGTCAACATTGAAACAGTATTCTGTGATCAGTGGCGGCAGGTCAGGGTCGTCAAGCCAACTGGTCACCGATGTCACTTGTCGGTCTTCGCTTCTCGCATAAGGTTTTCCCGCTCGATGCTCATGTTTCTTTGACGAGTTTGTTTTCCTGTGTCCTCCTTCGTAACCCTCTGGTTGCTGACGAGTCTGTAAATCTTATTCAAGTCGGATAAACGCCATGGTTTTTGCTTGAACATCTTCAAAGGTTCTGCATGGGTATTTGGTCAATTCCCTGTAGAGTTCTGAGTCTTGTAGCAATCCTCTCCTGAAAGCCTCGACAGCCATCGACATGTCACATCTCGGAATCGACACCTTTTCCCTGTTGAACCTATGAAGGTATTCTCTTAAGGATTCGTTACGCTTCTGGACCACCCGGTATAAGTCGCTAGTCTGCTTTTCTAGGACCCGACTACTTGCGAAATGCTGATTAAAGATGTTGACAAGTTCCGCAAATGAGTGGATGGCTTCATTCGGTAGATTAACGAACCATTTCAAGGCCGGACCGGTCAATGTCGATCCGAATGCTCTACACATGCACGCCTCCCGTTGATCTGGACTAACGGAAACGGCAAGCATACGTTGCTTATACTGGGCGACATGTTCCACCGGATCGGTGGTTCTGTCGAACAACTTCATTGTGGAGGCTGCAAACTTCCTCGGGATTTCGACGTCCGTGATATGTCTTCCGAAAGGACAATCTGCGTAGCAAGTTTGCGAAGCGACATCTAAGGGTGGCAGCACTCCTGGTATGTTGTTGATTTTCTCTCGCATTTCCCGTAGCTCTTTCATGATGATTGCTAAGGGGTCCGCTGGATGTGTCCGAGGTCCTGTCCGGATGGGTGAGGCCGCTGCCTGGATTGCCTCCTGCCTGGTGGGGGACGATATGTCAATGAACTCTGGACCCCGTCGACTCTGGCCGTTGAAGTCGACATTTCTGGCAAAGTCGACACGTCTGGGAATGTCGACGTGATTCTGGGCCCTTCTTCTGTGAGGCTCCCCTATGAAGTTCTGGGCCGTACCTCGTCTGGGAATGGCACGGGAGCTAGGGCGCATGGATGAGCCCGGTTCTCCGGTCATGCCGGTGGTTGTATAAGAGACGAAAGGTTCGATCGGGGTCGAACCGGCGTTCGATGGAGGCATCCTTTGCGTGAGCGATTGCAAACTTGATGATGATGGCCTGGTTCGGAGGGACTCCGGAAAGTAGCAGGCCGGGATGTTTGGGGAAGGAGTTGTCTCTGGCACGAGTGGAGTATATGGAATGACTTGCGAGATAGCGGTGGCGTGAGGATTAGTAGGTGACAACTCCGATTGATGACCGTCTGTGGCTGACAGTCCTAGCGTGAGAGACAGAGAATCCGTCGTCTCACCTGTGAGGGGTTCGGTCGTGATTGTGACGGTATCCAGATCTAATCTTGTAGTTGCTGCCATGGCGTCACACCTCTGACCACCCTTTGAATTGGAAGCTATGGAAGCCACCGTTTGGACCTGAGAGCGCAAAATATCGTTTTCTCTCTGGAGAAAACCAATCCGCTGAGCCGTTTCTCGCCGGATTTCTTCTCTAACGGATTCGAGCTGCTGATGGAATTCCGCTAGCAATGGATTTGAGTTTTCGGCCATGATTGATTCTTTTTTGCCCGAATTTCTCACAGACGACGCCAAATTGTTTATGCTAAAATAAACTAATCTAAAATTGAAACGGGAATGGGACAAATATGGATCGATAATGAAACAATCGACAAGTATAAATATGAATAATATTTCTTAGAAGTATGAATATGAATTTCCGGGTACAAGAGAATAGCAAGAATGCTTTTTCGTGTGATCTAGTGATCGTGCTGTGCATAGCTGTTCAAATGATTATTTATTCAACTGATCGCAACCCCTTCATCAAGTTGTGCGCCTGACTCCGTTTTTCTCTCCACGTATAGTTGGCTCCCCTTATCCATTATTCTGACTCAACCAAAATAATTGTTCCATGAAGCTTTATCTCATTTGAACTTTAGTATCCTTCTTTACGTGAATTACCAAGCAGCCCAAGCGTAGGAAACATATTCGGCCCAATCATTAAATTTCAAGGAAAAACACCGGCCCAACAATACAGCTACAGTCCTAGTGCCAATAAACACCGGCCTAAGAAGTGTATTTCTATACAAAAACTAAACCCGTATTTCTATAGAAAAACTAAAGCCAACTAGGTACATGCCGTGTATAAGGATAATACACAAAATATTATGTACACAAAATATAACACCCCCCTCAAGATGGAGCATGGGTCATGAATGCCCATCTTGGCTAGAAGAAAATGAAATTGTCCCGAGCCCAAAGCTTTGGTGAAAATATCCGTTAATTGCTCCGAAGTTGAAGTGTAGGAAGGAATGATAGCACCAGACCTCACATGATCTCGAATGAAATGACAGTCGAGCTCAATATGCTTAGTACGCTCATGGAACACAGGATTGAAAGCAATATGAAGCGCTGCCTTGTTGTCACAGAAGAGCTGGATTGATGCGATCTTAATACGAAGTGACGAAAAAAGGCTTTTAAGCCATAATAGTTCACAAGTAAGAGTAGCCATAGAGTGATACTTTGCTTCAGCAGAATATCTGGAGACTGTAGCTTGTTTCTTTGTGCGCCAAGATATAGATGATCCGCCCAGTGTCACAAAATACCCTGTAACAGAACGACGTGTATTGGGACAACTAGCCCGATCAGAGTCACAATAGCCAAGGAGAGTAAATGGTGAGTCGCGCCGGAATAGCAGCCCTTGGCCCGGCCGACCCTTGAGGTAGCGGAGTACTCAGATAATTGCGTCCCAGTGGGCTTGCCGAGGTGCTTGCATGATGTGGGACATATGAAAATTCAGCGGGTTTAGCTCTTGTGAGACCTGTCTCAGCCAAAATATCCAATACATATTTTGTTTGATACAAAAAAATTCAGGGCGGACCCCGTGCAACTTTTAGGCCAAGAAAATACTTCACAGAACCCAAATCTTTGATAGGAAACTTGTGAGCCAAATAAGACTTAAAAGAACAAATCATTTGAGAGCTAGAACCCGTAATAAGCAAATCATCAACATAAACAAGAATGCATAAAATGTGTTCACCACGGTGAAGAGTAAATAATGAATAATCAACATGGGATTGGGAGAATCCATAAGCAATAAGGGTCGTGGTCAATTTTGAGAACCAACACCGGGGAGCTTGACGCAACCCATAAAGAGACCGGAGCAGTTTGCACACCTGCCCAGATTTGGCAGAAGAATATCCTGGAGGCAAATGCATGTACACCTCCTCCTGAAGGTTACCATGTAAGAAGGCATTGTCCACATCCATTTGATGAGTCTCCCAATTACGTGAAGCAGCGATGGCCAAAAGAGTACACACCGTTACCATTTTGGCCACCGGAGCGAACATTTCATCATAGTCAATACCCTGTACCTGACGATTTCCACATAGTACTAATTGTGCTTTGTAACGATCAATGCTCCCATCACTTCAGTATTTGATTTCAGGGAAAAGTACAGAAAAGGTACTTGTGGTTGGGCCCGTTTTCAGATAAGGTCATGTGTTTCATTCTTTATCAAAGTAGTTCATGTGTTTGAATTCCGTTATCACAAGAGGGTCACGCCGTTAAAAACGTCTGAAAAAGAACGTTAAAAGTAACTCTGATTTTCAAAAGTGCCCGAAAAATTAAAATAAAAATACTGAAAGGTGCGCATCGTCAAGATGACCTCCAAACCACCTTCGCATTTGGATTTTCCAGATGAGTTTGAATTATTTTTTAAAAATGATTTCGCTAATATCACTTTTCCGATGAAATTTCCGGTGACAAGGGTGGCTGAAAACAAAAAAGAAAGATGGTCTAGCGGTCGTCTTATTGAAGCGCACCTTCCAGTATTTTTCTTTTAATTTTTCGGGCACTTTTGAAAAGCGGAGTTACTTTTAACGGTCCTTTTCAGACGTTTTTAATGACATGACCCTTTTGTGATAACGGAATTCAAAAACATGAACCACTTTGATAAAGAATGAAACATATGACCCTATCTGAAAACGGGCTCAACCACAAGTACTTTTTCCGTACTCCTCCCTTGATTTTATACACCCATTTACAGTAAATAGGTTTCTTACCAGGGGGAAGAGACTGTAGTTTCCATGTCCGAGTGCGCTCCAGCGCATCAATCTCCTTTTGCATGGCAGCACACCAATTTGGGTCAAGGACGGCTTCTCGGAACGTGTTCGCTTCCTTGGTGGTTGAAATGGATGCAAGAAAAGCACGGTGTTCTACCGAAAAACGATTATAATTTAATAATAAGATAAGAGATACGGAGTACCTGAGTCAACCGGTCGAGACGAGCTAGCAACGGGTGGAGTATCTATTTTCTTCCACTATGTAGTCCCGGTGCCATACTGGTTGTCGTTTTGAATATTGGATTGTTCAGATTGTGACGTGTGGGAATTTCCACTTTCCTGGATAGTAATTGGCTCGATAGAAGTGTCAGTACCCGCAATTACTTGCTGACCTGTGACATCAGTTCCAAATTGTTCTTCGTGAGGTGGTTCGGCATGCTCCAGTTGAGCTCCTGTGTGCTTTGAATATTCATCGTCGATGTCATCAACTGCATGGGAAGGCCGTACATTCTCAACATGCTGGGAGGTACCAGCTGATGAAGTCAACTCCAGCTCGGCATAGGGAAATTGAGTTTCATCAAATGTAACATCTCTAGAAACAAAATAACGTTGTTTTTCGAGATCGTACAATTTCCAACCCTTTTGTGGGTAGGGATATCCCACAAAAATACATTTGACCCCCCGTTGAGCAAATTTATCTCCTCTCGTATCATGTGTGCGTGCATAACACAAACAACCCAAGACGTGTAGATGTTCGTATCTGGGTGCCTTGTGATACGATAATTCATAAGGACTCTTGTACTCCAAAACAGAAGAAGGCAATCGATTTATAAGATAGCACGCGGTCAAAACGCATTCACCCCAAAAATTGATTGGTAAATGTGCATGAAAGCGTAAAGTACGTGCTATATTCAAGATAAGTCTGTGTTTCCGTTCAACCCGTCCATTTTGCTGTGGAATGTAAACACATGTTGTTTGAAAAAGAATTCCACGATCCAAAAAATAATTCTTCAGACATTGAAATTATATGCCATTATCACTACTAACATTTTTCACCCTTTTGTCAAATTGGTGAACTATCAATGCAATAAATTGTTTAAGTAATCTTGAAACTTCACTCTTTTCTTTCATTAAGATGGTCCAGACAGCACGTGAATAATCATCGACTATAGTCAGAAAATATCTAGCACCACATGATGGTGGATGACGATATGGTCCCCACACATCACAATGGATCATCAAATATTGCAAAAGCTCTGGATTCACTAATATGAAAAATATCACAGGTCTTTTTTCCACGCAAACATGCATCACAACTTTTATTCAAACTAGTATCCAACACAAATTTATTGGAAAAATCAATAGAACGCAAATCTTTGACTGATGGATGTCCTAACCGGAGATGCCACAAGTTGCCTTTAGTCTTCTCCGTTATTGAGCAAGCACGAACAAAATCAAAACTACGAAAATAGTATACTCCTCCCCGTCTTTCACCCACTCCAATCGGCGTCCTCGAAGGTAGGTCATGTATCACACATAATTCATTAGTAAACAATATACCGCAATTCTAGTCATCAATTAATTGTGCTAAAGAGATCAAATTGCACGTCAGTCCAGGAACCAAAAGCACATTTTTTAAGGTTAGTTTACTGCTCAATCGAACCATCTCTCGGCTCGTTGCATAAGTAATAGCATCGTTCGGTAGATGCACAGGTAATGGCGTGATTCCCTTGGTGTTCACCAACAAACTACCTTGACCGGTCATATGCAGAGATGCTCCTGAATCTAACAACCACGTATCTATATTAGCATTAATACCTTGGAGTTTTTCATTGGAAGCTGTCACCTTACACTGCTCCATCAACTGGAGAAAATTTCTCCACTGTTCATCAGTGAAGTGTGGCGCACGAAGAATTTCTCCTGTTGCCAGTGAAGCTCCGGTGTTTTCATCTTCCTGCGGCTGAATCTGCACGGCATGTGCAGTAGCTCTCCCACGACCTCTTCCATTGTTTCCGCGACCCCGTCCACGTCCACCCCGTCCTCTACCGGGGTTATCAGACCACCAATCTGGGTATTGGCCGGTGCGTTTAAAATAGTTATCCATGGTATGTCCTGTGACACCGTCCCAAGCATGTTTACTTTTAGTAAATTATGTAATAAACCTTGAAGGATGAGTTATGAATTTACGTAATTGTTAAATTTTATTATTTCTTTTACGTGAATAGTAAATTGCATGTGGGGCCCACAGCGGGAACGGGGACCGCCCGATAATTCCCGAACCACATATTATATTCATCCTGGTCTGGATAACATCTATATGGTTGTGGATATTTTATTTGGGCCATAGGAAAGGCACGGAGTTGACCGGTGGTCAAACGAGGCCCAATTACCAGTATTGGTTATTTAGCGGTTAACGGCCCGAAATGAGTTTCGGAGACTCCTAAATTAATGTTGAGGAATGTACATCTATTCTAAAGGCCCATAATTATTAGGAATGCGTGATATATTTTATTTGGTCCGATAAAATAAACTATGAATAAAACGGAGCGAGAAATACAACTTTTGGGGCCGATTGTACACACCGGGACATAATGGGATGACCTCCCACATAAGTGGGAGCCACCCCACGTTTTTATGGGTGCTTATTGACCAAATTAATGGGAATGGGACATCTAAATATGGCATATGCGGACTTATGAAGGAGAGGGTAGCTGGGGGACAAAGCCACACCCCTCCTTGTCTCATTCATGCACCATCCTCACAAGGTGAGATTGTAACACCGACCCCGGGCATATTTACTTTTAGTGAATTATGTAATAAACCTTGAAAGATGATTTATGAATTTGCGTAATTGTAAATTTTATTATTTCTTTTACGTGAATAGTAAATTGCATGCGGGCCCCACAGTGGGAACGGGGACCGCCCGATAATTCCCGAACCACATATTATATTCATCTTGGTCTAGATGACATCTATATGGTGGTGGATATTTTATTTGGGCCATAAGGAAGGCATGGAGTTGACCGGTTGGTCAAACGGGGCCCAATTACCGGTATTGGTAATTTAGCGGATAACAGCCCGAAATGAGTTTCGGAGGCTCCTAAAATAATGTTGAGGAATGTACATCTATTCTAAAGACCCATAATTATTGGGAACGCGTGATATATTTTATCCGGCCCGATAAAATAAAATATGACTAAAATAGTCCGAGAAATACAACTTTCGGGGCCGATTATACACACCGGGACTTAAAGGGATGACCGCCCACATGAGTGGGGGCCACCCCACGTCCTTATGGACTGAATGAGAGAAGAAAGGGACATTCAAACATGGGAGGTGCGGACTCATTGAGTGAGGAGATTTCTCAAGACAAAGAAATCACTCCCAAGGGCCCATGCACATGTATTATCTTGGGAGTTGATTGGGGAGATGTTTCCTCCTTCATTCCACACCACTCGGCCATATCAAGAGAGGAGAACCTCTAGGAAGAGCTCTCACAAGGTCCAAGGCAGGAAGAAGCAAGAGGAAAGAAAACCCAACACAAAAGGCTAAGATTTGAGGTAAGAACTCAGCTAGGATACATTAACTAGTTTTTGTAGTATGATTTCTTTTAAGAAATCATATGGTGGATTAAACATGAAGTTCTACACGTTTAAAAGTGTAGAATATTGATATAAAGTGGTGGTATTTAACTTAGGGGAGTTGGTGAATCGTTAGGAGTCGAAATCGCCGAAAACCGCCACTTTAAGGGAGCTGCTCGTATCTGCAGAACACGAAAGCCGCCCGGCTTTGGCCCAGCAGTCCAGATTTTCACTTTCAATCGGCCTAGAACGGGGATTGATCGAGGGGCTTAACAAAGGCAACTATTGTAGCACATCACGAGGTGAGGATGACTGACTATATTGCTTATAATTAGTGAGTTAATTTCATAAGATTGCCTAAAGTAATTAGATGAGATTTTCATTGATTATTAATGATTAATAATGCCTAAACGAAAATAATATGGATATGAGTAAGTGAAGCATGATATACAAATTTAGAATAATTGTGTATGATTATGTGAAATGAATGGAACGGCATGTTAATGTAATTACAATGATGACATTGTGATAAAATATACTTTAATTCATGTATGAAAATTCATGAATGAATTAAAGTGATGTTTTTGATATTGAGATCAAACTATACTTGGGTTGGGAAATCAATTGAAATGAAATGCCAAATGGAAAATAGGAAATTGGCATGTTCTAAGATTATACAATTAGTATCAAAATACTAGTCGGGGAATTAATATAAATAAATGGTGAAACAAATCCTAAGAGGTAGGATTGTGAATAGATATGCCTTAAGTAGTCTCAAGAGATACTTAACGTTGAATTGTATGAACACCAAGGTGTGATAGGGGTAGGCCTAAAGGCCACCTACGGGAATTGATTCTAGGCATATGATTTGCTTGAGAATTTGATTATGAAATAATTAGAGTTGGACTCTAGGATGACATGGAAATGTAGTTGGGCCGAGCCCATGCCATGTAATATGATTAGCATGGAGACGTAGTTGGGCCGAGCCCTTGCCATGTATATGTGACCTCCGTGGAAACGTAGTTGGGCCGAGCCCTTGCCACGAAGTTATGGTTGATATGGAAACGTAGTTGGGCCGAGTCCTTGCCATACAAATTTTGATATGATATATTGAGTTAGAGGATTGTATAGAAATGTAGCTGGGCCGAGCCCATGCTATACAATTAGGGCTCGATGGGACCCCACGGGGTTATCGTGACTTGCGGTCACGGGGGAATGGAAACGATGAATTCTAAATGAATATGGGCCTACGGGCCGACTACTTGACTTTATATAAAGTAAGTACAGTTAAAGGAAAAAGGGGTAACCGAGGGTTATGGCCTATAATATAATAGTACCCTAGGTTGAGGGTCTTGGAAATTAAAACGTTGATTATACTTAGTATAGTTGTTATTGTACTTGTCAAATATTTCCAAGTACTGACCTTCCCTTCACGGGGGAGGCCACCTCACAGTTTCAGGTAGGACTTGAAGGTTGCTACCATCGCCCGTGGCTTCGGGAGGATCAAGGGGAGAAGACGTGGTTCGTGCTTCTTCCGTTCTGTTTTAAAAACAATTACGTTAATGCTCATGGATATTATTTTTGAATAATTACTTTGGGGGCTTGTATGCCGAGTTATGCCAAGTGTGGCTTGAACAATTGTATTTATGCTTCCGCTGTTTTAAATGAATGATTTACATTATGTTTGTTTATGGATGTACTATGTGTGAATGATATTCATGACGCCTTGTATAGTATGGATGAGTCGGACTGCGGTTGACTATTCGTACTGTACGGCGGGTTGTTGACGTGTCCGGCTAGGCCCGGGGCGTGACAGAGATGGCTTGATAGACTCCTCCCTCATTCTACACCATACGGAGGATAGAATAGAGAGATAAGGTCCAGGGAAGAGCTCTCAAAGTTCTGGAGCTTGAGGAGCCAAGAAGAGAGATGAATCCATAGAGGAAAAAGCTAAGCCTTGGGGTAAGAACACATATGGTTCTTTTAACTAGTCTTATTGTGTATGATTTTTAAGAAATCATATGGGGGATTAAACCTCGAGTTCTACACGTTTAAAAGTGTAGAATATTGTTATAAAGTGGTGTTAATTAACTTAGAAGAGTTGGTGAATCGATAGGAGTCGAAATCGCCGGAAACCGCCACATTTAGGGAGATGTTCGTAGTTGCAAACTACGAAAGCCGCCCGGCTTTCGTGAAAGCCGCCCGACTTTGGCCCAGAAATCCAGTTTTTCACTTTCAATCGGCCTAGAACGGGGATTGATCGAGGGACTTAACAAAGGCAACTATTGTAGCACATCACGAGGTGAAGATGGCTGACTATATTGCTTATAATTAGTGAGTTAATTTCATAAGATTTCCTAAAGTATTAAAAGTGATTTTTATGGGTTATTAATGAGTAATAATGCTTAAATGAAAATACCATTGTTATGAGTAAAAGAAGCATGATATACAAATTTAGAATAAATTGTATATGATTATGTGGCATGAACAGAATGACATGATGGTGGAATTAACTATGTAAATATTGTGATAAATATACTTTTACTTCATGTATGAAATTCATGAACGGATAAAAGTGATATTTTGATATTGGGATCAAATTATATTTGGATTGGAAAATCAATTGAGAAGAAATGTCAATTTGAATTAAGGACTTGATATGTTCTAAGACTAACCCACTAGTATTAAAATACTAGTCGGGAGAATAATATAATGGAATTAATCCTAAGGTATAGGATGGTGAATAGATTTGCCTTAAGTAGTCTTAAGAGATACTTTAAGGTTGAATTGTATGAACACCAAGGTGTGTTAGGGGTAAGCCTAAAGGCTACCTGAGTGGATTGATTCTAAGCATAGGATTTGCTTGAGAATTGGACTACGAAAATGAATTAGAGTCGGACTCTAGGATTGCATGGAAATGTAGTTGGGCCGAGCCCTTGCCATGTAATGTGAATAGCATGGAAACGTAGTTGGGCCGAGCCCTTGCCATGTATTTGTGATCTTCGTGGAAACGTAGTTGGGCCGAGCCCTGGCCACGAAGTTGTGGTTGGTATGGAAACGTAGTTGGGCCGAGCCCTTGCCATATAATTTAAATGTGTTAAATTGAGTTGAAGGGTTGTATAGAAATGTAGTTGGGCCGAGCCCTCGCTATACAATCGGGACTCTAGGGAACCCTATGGGGTTGGCGTGACTAGTAGTCACGGGGAATTAAAATGGTGAATTCTAAATGAATATGTGCCCACAGGGCGATTACTTGACTTTATATAAAGCAAGTACGTTTTTGAAAAAGGGATAACCGAGGGTTATGACCTATAATATAATATCACCCTAGATTGAGGGTCTTTGAAATTTAAACATTGATTATACTTAGTATAGTTGTCATTGTACTTGTCAAATGCTTCCAAGTACTGACCTCCCCTTCACGGGGGAGGCCGCCTCACAGTTTCAGGTAGGAGCTGAGCTTGCTACCATTGTCTGTGGCTTCGGGGAGAGACTAGGAGAGGAGACGTGGTTCGTGCTTCCTCCGTTTCTGTTTCAAAACAATTATAACAATGCTCATGGATATATTTTTGAATAATTATTTGGGGGCTTGTATGCCCATGTTTGCCAAGGTGTGGCATAAACTCTTAAATTAAATGTTTCCGCTGCTTTAAATAAATGTTTTACATTATGTTTGTTTATGAATGTACTATGTGTGAATGGTATTCAAGATGCCTTGTATAGTATGTATGAGTTGGACTGCGGTTGACTATTCGTACTGTACGGCGGGTTGTTGACGTGTCCGGCTAGGTCCGAGGCGTGACATGTCCTGCCTTCTTGCAATAAGTACACAAAGGCTTCTCTTCTTGTTCAGTCAACATGGGTCATGTTCTGGTGGCAAAGGCAACGGTGTCCACGGTTTCTCCTCCATTGCGCGTCATATTTAAATGACGTTCCTCCTGGGTCATAATCTGATAAACCCGTGTGAGCCCAGGCAAATCGTCTTGACTGAGCAAGTTCGACCGTAAGCCACCATACATGTCACGTTCTAATCCCATCAAAAAATCATATGTCTTCTCCTGTTCAATAGCCTTCACGAGCTTTTTGTTCAAATCACACGTACAACCATTGCAGGTACACAATGGTACGTTTCAGTATCCCTCGTAATCGTCCCATAGGGCTTTAAGACGTCCGTAATATGTGGTAATTGTTTCCCCGTTTTGTCGACAAGAGCGTATGGACTCCTTCATCTCGTAGACCCGCATCGGATCTCTGACCTCGAACTGACTCTTCAAATCATCCCAAAGCTCTTTTGCCCCTTCGGTGTACGCGATGTTGGTGCGCAGAACCGGATCTATTGCCGTCATCAGCCATCCGACCAGCATGGAGTTCACAGTATGCCAGTCTTCGAGATCTTCTCCGTCACTCTCCGGTCGTTTGATTGCTCCGCTCCGTCTATGAAACCGAATTTCAGTTGGTGCGGAAAGCATTCTTCATCGCCGTCGTCCATGCACGAAAATTGCTTTCGCCCTTGAGAGTCATTCCGCAGATGTTGATTCCGGGGAAGTCAGAACTCGACAAGAAATAAGGCGATGATGGGTCGTTGATTTTCCTTCTCATGTGTTCGCCGGAGTACGAGTTTAGTCCGTCGTTGGCCATCGTTCAAAAAACTGTCGTATTGAGTAAGAGAATAACGTTTGGTCGTGAACTGTATTCCCGCTCTGATACCAAAATAAATCGAGGAAGAGATTTAATCTTATTCATCTGTTAACCCTTCGCATAGATGCAATAATATATACAGCTACAGTCCTAGTGCCAATAAACTACGCAGGTTACATGCAGCCTAAGAAGTGTATCTATCTCTATACAAAACGAAGTGGAATTTTTGGTGAATTTGCCGCCCAAAAACATCACAATCACAACGGAAAGAATTGGTATTGTTTTGGATGTTAAAAAATCTCGGTTCTACCGAAAGACGGGTCAAGATTAATTAATCTGTTTCGAATCTTTGATGGCTGTCAGAGAGTTGTCTATTCAAACAGATAACCTTTAGAGAAATGGTTGGGAATAGGACTAAAAGTATCCGTATATATCTAAATAGGACTTCAATCTTTTTTACTTCTAAATAGGACTGTATTTTCCGTGTATTCCAAATTTACCCCCAATTTCTATTCCCGTGTCTCACTTTATCCTTTCTCTTCCCTAGCGACCGACACTCCCACGAGATGAAGAAGACTAGCGTGGTGGTGAAGCTGGAGATGAGGCACAATCGAGAAGAGACAATGGCACGGAATCACGGCAGCGGTGGCACTGTGAGTTGGTGAGGAGGAGGCGGCACAGAGATGCGACTGCGGCGGCTGCACAACGACGCTGCAGCCAGTTACGGCGGAAATTCCCGGTAAGTCTCCTCCTTTTTCTTCTTTCTGTTGCGTCTTCTCTTCCTTTGTACGTGTTGCACTCCTTGTTATTTTTTTGCAGCCTGCAAGAAGCTGCCAGATCTATTCTCTTCCTTCATCTTCTCTGTTTTTCTCTTTCGATTTTCCTTTTTGACTTTTTCTTCTATTTTTTTCTTTCAGTGTTCCTTTCTCTTTTTTATTTGTTCTCTTAAATTTCTGTTGTAGAAATATTTTTTTTAAATTAAATTAGAGAATGTTTTGTGATTTTCCTTTAGTTTGTGTCAATATCTTTGGCATTGTTTTTAAAATTCCAGTTTTCAACGGTGTTGAAGAGTTGATAATGCATATGATTGAATACATATATTTTTGACATTATTTTCAACAATATGATGTTTTGACTTTTTTCCTACAATAAAACAATGTTAAAGATATAATGACATTGTTCATTTTGAGAATGTTTATAACAAAAATGTTTGACATTGTGACATTTTTTTTAAATTGGGACACTTTTCTTTGTAACATTTTCTTACACACATTTGACAATGTTTATAGCAGTGTAACATTGTTTGTTTTTTAAAATGCTTATAATGATAATGTTAGACGTTGCAACATTTTATTTTGGCATTGTCATTTTTTTGACATTGTAGCATCCTCTTTTACAGTGGAGATCGTTGAAGGACCGTGGGAGGAGGTCGTACGAGTTATAGATACAGCGGTTGCCGAAGGTCCAACCGGAGGAGGTCGCTTGAGAACCGGCAGTCAGTGAAGCACAAACAGAGGCGTTCATTGACATTATTTTTAGCAATGTAACTTTATACTGATTGAGATGCACGATATTGTCATTGACATTATTACAATGTCATTTTCATAACATTGCTATTGTCATTGCCACGACATTGTCATGCTTTTTAATAATAACAGGGAACAAAATAAATAATACTATCGTACTAATAAATTGTGTTAACATTCTCACAATTATTTCTTTTTAACAATGTTTACAATAATGTCACATTGACATTGTTTTTAACAATGTCATTTTATAACATTAACATGTTCACGACAATGTCATTGACACTGTCACGACAATGTCATTGACATTGTCACGACGAGCTATTGTCATTGCCATGACATTGTCACGATATTTAATAATAACAAGGAACAAAATAATAATACTAAAAAATTGTGTTAACATTCTCACAATTATTTCTTTTTAACAATGTTTACAATAATGTCACATTGACATTGTTTTTAACAATGTTATTTTTATGACATTAACATGTTCACGACAATGTCATTGACACTGTCACGACAATGTCATTGACATTGTCACGACGATGACATTTTCATTGTCGTCATTATAATGTCATTTTTATAACATTGACATCATCACTATATGACGACATTGTGACATTTTTTTGACACTGTGACATTTTCATACATTTGGACAATATTTGCAATATTGAGAGATTGTTTATTTTTTAAATGTTTAAGTGGTAATGTTTGACATTGTGATTTTCTTGGCATTGTGATTTTTTTTTTACATTTTGATATTTTTATGACATTGTAATATTCTTTATGGTAAAAGAATCTGTATGGTAAAGGAAGATAGAAAAATTTAGAAAAACAATAAGAGAAAGGAAAACCAAATAAGAGAGAAACAAAAGGAAGTTGAAACAACAAAAAACAAGAAGGGAAATTGAGAAAAGAAGAAGAAAGCAAAAAGGGGGAAATCACAAATAGATCTGGGCAACAAAAAGAGGAAAGCTCAATAATTGACTTTGCTGAGCTCAGCAGTGGAGCTTGAGACGATGTCACCTTCCTTCTCCACAGTTCACCCAGGCACAAGTAGAAAAACAAATTGGTTCTCTACAAATCGGAAAATCCTAATTGCTCCAGCTAGAATCAACCGAGTAAGCTTTCAACCCCATTTCTGTTCAACAACACTTGAAGAGAAGCAGCAACAAGAAATAAGAGAAAGAAGAGGACGATCCGGAGACGACGAGCGGCATACTCCGGAGATTACTAGCGGCAAACCGGCAGTTAACACAAAACATTCGAGTGTCCAGGTGAAGGTCAACGGAGTTGAGGACGACTTCGGCTAGGGAATTGTGAATCCCGATGGATACGATGGAGGACGCGAGGCGGAAACAACGGATGTGGTGGCGCATGAATTTGCTTTGCTTGGTGTTGATCCATTTCGTTCCCATATGTGCAAATAACGGCGGCTCCATCAGATTGCAGCAATTAGTGGGCTGGAGAGATTTTAAGGGGCAAGGTTATTTTGGTCTGTGCGGTTGATAATTAGTCTTATTTAAGGTTTAAAAAAGATCGAGTCTTATTTACTTACCCGTCTCATATTTTAGTCCTATTCAAGTCTTTCTCCCATAACCTTTATTGACTTTGAGTAAAAATATAGCCACTACAACTAATACGGAGTATATTTACACCGGATAGATGAAGATGCTGGATAAGTCCGGATTTTTTCTACAATCGGCAGAGCAATCCAACCCAACCCAACCCATAAGACCTCACGACGGGGAAGAACTTCAGCTGCGTTTCAACCGCTAGAAGTGCCGCATCCACTGCGACATCAATGGAGGGCTGCAACCCAAGTCAACCTTTGTCCCAGAAAGACGTTGGAGACAAAGGAGGAGGCCGGTGAGGTGAGTGGAGGACTGGAGGCCTCCGTCTCTAAGCTCTCGCGCGCTTCAAGAAGAAGAAGATGGATAGGATTTCTTCATGTTTGGGGCTTCTGGTAAGGTGTCATCTTGCAGCCAGATTACGTACTTCAGGATTTTTTTTTTTAACGTTTGAATGGGATTAGGGCGCTCTGGCGACATCAAGGGAAACCGGCGTTGGCACCGATGCTTCGTCAGTCACCACAATCGGAGACCAGGAGCAGCCATCATCCATCTCCTTTGGGTCGTTCTTCTTTCAACTCTCAGACAACCATGGGGAATCAAATCAACCTAAGACAGAGCTCAACGAAAACAACGCCAACTCAGCGGTTACCCCTGCTCACCTGCGATGGATTTTCAGATCGGCTGACCAGAGAGGAAGGCCAGACTCCGTGGCAGATTGCGACCAAATAAGGCCTAACCATCATGCGACAATGAGGGCTCAACATCGGCTATCAACAGCAGCGATCCAAACGCCACGAATTCAGATGCTACATTTGAAAGGTCGGGCACCTCTTTGGGAAAGTTCAAATGAGATCAAAATACACAACGATGTCAAGGTGCTGGGTAATTCGACGGAAGACTGTGGAGCTACAATTTTTTTATAATAAATACTCTGTATTACAAAAGAAATCCTCCTAATGTAAGGATCAATATCATTTTCACACTCATGTTTATAGTTTGATAGCTTTGTTTTGAAATAATGTCTATGAAAAGCTTATTTAATGTTATTAATTGTTTAAAAAAGGTTGACCTCATTATTCAATTTCAGAGGCTAAAGTGGATTTCCGAATATACTCCCTCCGTCCCACAATTAAGTTACCACTTTCCTTTTTGAGCAGGCCTTAAATTAAGTTCACACTTCCTTACTTTCCTTATTTGGCAAATTATCTACATCAAAACAGTGTCAAACAGTGTCAAACAGTGTCCAAACAGTGTTTGAACAGTTCAAAACAGTGCACTCCACAGTAAAGTCAAATTTATTTTCTTAATATGTGTGAAGTCAAACCATGAACTTAATCGGGGGACAAAGGGAGTATTATTTTCTAGACATATTCTATACATTTTATTTATTAGTAATTTTATTCACCAACACTAAATTAAACATTACAAATCATGTTATTTAAAATATCTAATGTGCATACCTACATATTAAGTAATACAGTACATTATTTAAGACACCACTATTCTCCATAGACTATATAGTACTCCCTCTCTCCCATAAAAAAGTTCCCGCATTGACTTGGATCGGAGTTTAACATAGAGGAAATAAAGTAGAAATATATGGATGTGGTTGAGTAAGAAAAAGAAAAATGAATGGTAACCACAAAAAACTTTCCAAAACAGGAAATGAGAACTATTATTTGGGACGACCCAAAAAAGAAATCGGGAACTATTTTGCCAGAAGGAGGGAATACATCAAGTTTTGGATAGTTTATTAATAAAATAACCCTATTCTCTAAATAGGGATATTTTCTTAGGGATTAACACCCAAACTATAAATTAACACCTCTAATGTGTACATTATTTAATAAAATACTACCTCCGCCCCAAATTGATTTGCAAATTTGATTTTTTTGGTCAAATAGTTTCATTTTTTGCTTAATTAGGATTTCACTTTTTAATTATATTCTAATTTGGAGTTTACAACTTTGCAGAGATTTTAATGTAGTTTCTGAATATATAAATTTTAATTATTAACAATTGAATTAATTATCGATAGGAAGCATTGACTTTTTTATTGGTTGACCAATAAATGTTGACTTTGCAAAACAATTAGGGACGGAGGGAGTACATTATTTCAATACACTCAACACATATTCGATGAAATTGATTGACTATATAGTCTCGGATAATAGTGATGTCTTTAGTTTCATCCCTATGAACACATATGTACTTTTTTCTATCCTTAATGAAGTTTACACTTTGACTTCACACATATTAAGGAAATAAATTTGACTTTATTGTAGAGTACTCTGTTTGACACTGTTTGGCACTGTTTAGCACTATTTGGCACTATTTGGTGTAGATTTGTTTGCCAAATAAGGCAAATAAGGAAGTGTAAAGTTTAATATGGGATGGTCCAAAAAGAAAAGTGTAAAGTTAATTAATGACCGGAGAGAGTAATTAATAAGATAACAAGGATTATCAGAAATCGCTATTTCAAACAGGGATGGTGGCATGGAATAGTTTTGGTAGAATTTGGTTTTTTAAAGTTTCATTTTAGATACACCGTAGTTTGAACCGAAAAAGGACACCACTCCCCTCATCTCAACTTAATGTCTACCGAATAGGGAAATTCGAACTAATACAAATATAAAACACTGCACCCATGCCATTACTATTACTCCAAGTACAAGTGCACTTTATGTTTAATTGCTTCCTTTTACACTGAATAGTAACATGCTATGCTTTGGGAGGTCATGTAGTTGTTCGGTATTGTTAATCTTTCAACTATTACACAAAACTATTCAATATCTACTTATTACCATGACATTTCTTAGAGATTTCATCCCTTAAATTAACGTATTCATTGTAACTGTTACATCTTCACTGTCAAGGCTCCAAACATACTATTCATCGAGTTTTTCTATCTTCTTCAGGATTGATGGGTTTATTAGAATTGCAGTTGAGGATATCAGAAGCAAACTTACACAACTTTATAGGTATTGTGAAGAGGATGAAATTCTAGAAGCACAGTGAGAAATCCCACAAGCGCTGATCAGTGATACTTATAGGCAGAAATCCATCGTAAAAGGCCATTGCACGGAAAGTCTCAACCGCAACTGGGAGAGCTCAATATCGCCCAACTGGGTGATGGCGCTTTATCCATGGGACGGAGAGGAAACTAGCAAAATTAGGGTAATAGAGGCATGCAGTTACTTTTGGCTGGATATTTCAACAAGACACACTACTCACCCGGAGAGATTTTCAAATTTTGGGCTCAAAATTTTATTGAAAGTAAATCCTCATGTTTCATATTATTGACTTGAGGATTAAAATTTTATTCGTTTATCTTGAGAATAATCATCCCTGCAATGGATTTTGATCTTGATAAACAACACAAAGGATATCAAGTTTGAAACAATTAAACAATTCAGATCGTCGTACCTCAATAAAGCTGCACATTCCAAATCTAAGTTAAGTAATATTTCCTTCGTATCACAAAATTCTTACTTTGACACATAAATTTATCCAAGATATAATTTTATTTTAACTTTCAAGTGCTCTTACTTTATATTACATCAAGCAAAATGTAAATATAGTTGTAACACTTTCTTATATTTTTTTAAATTGAAAGTCTCTTTTTGTAATATCCAAAAAAGAAAATTAAAAAATGTCGTTTTGGAATAGAGAATGTAATAAGATACGTATAATACATATCTTAATTTGCTAGATTAATGCAGTTCAAACAAAAATTAAGCAGATTAACTTAGACCAAATCAAACCTTAATGACCAATAAAGTCCTAATCAAAATGTAAAACTTTAATTTCAAATAAAAGCATCATGAGTGCCACATACAACACACCTCACTTTTCAATAGACGATATCACTTTGCCTAACATTCATTTTAACATTTATTTTGTTCTTTCTACTGCTACAAATAATATGAATTTTATACAACTAGATCTTATTCTGATTATTACTTTTTTGAAGTGTTTACGTGTTCTATAATTTATTATTTTTGAAATCGAAATTTCCCAAAAATACATAAGTATTGTGTTCCAAAAAGTGAATAGTAATTTGATTTCTTTTGTTGTGCGATGCATGGGACATAAGTGTGATTTTTATACCACTCCATCTCATTTCGATTACTACATTTTTGAATTGTTTATGTGTTCTATATTTTATTATTTTTGAACTCGAACTTTCCAACAATACATAAGTATTGTGTTCCAAAAAGTGAATAATAATTTGATTTCTTTTGTCCCGTGCATCGCACGGGTGAAATTCTAGTTTCTATACAAAAACTAAAGCCGTATTTCTATACAAAAACTAAAGCCACGTAGGTACATGTCGTGTATAAGGATAATACACAAAATATTATGTACACAAAATAGTAACAAGAACCCTGGCATTCTAGTAGTAGAAATAAGATGCAGGGGAACAGTGAAACACCTTAATTAAAACGAAAAGGCGACAATTTGTTGCACACGAAGTACTCCCTCAGTTCCGGTTAGGGGTGGGAAAACCGAACCGAAACCCGAAAACCGACCCGGACTCGGACCGAAAAATGTTACCGGACCGTTTTTTTTTATTTTTGACGGGCCGGTTAAAATAACGCGGACCGAACCCAAAATTCCGGGCCCAAATCCGGTCCCTAAAAATTACAAACCGGCCCGGACCGGCCAAAACCCGACCCGAATATTTCATTACTCCCTCCGTCCCGGTCATTTCTTCCAAGTTTGACTTGGCTCGCAAATTTAGAAAGTGGGAATAAAGTAGAAATGTATGGTTGTAGTTGGGTAAGAAAAAGGTGAATGAATATAAACCACATATTTTTTCCAAAAGTGGAAGTTGGAAGAATTAATCGGGACGACCCAAAAAGGAAAGTTGGAAGAAATGACCGGGACGGAGAGAGTATAATTTATTATAAAAAAATTAAGATATTCTATGGAAACAAGTACAAATACTCACTTGGGGTCTTCTAATTTGCTTTGTTTTTTAATCCATCTTAAAGAGAAACATCATTTTATCAGAACTTTGTTCTCTTTAGTCTGAATTTTTGTTGTTGGGGTTTTGCTAGTATTTATGTTTGGCTCTTTATGAGTGTTTTGGATCAATACTTTTTTTGTGCTTGAAATATCGTTGCTTTATAGCCTTTGAATTATTGATTAAATAGTTTGTTGTGATTATAATAGAAAGTGAGAAGGTTGAATCGTTTTGATTGATTATCGAACATTCTTTTGAATACTTTTTTTAATAAAAACAATGATATTTTTTTATTGAGCTTTAACCGACCCTACCTGAACCCGGACCGAACCCGAGCCTCAAAAAACCCGGCTCGAACTGAATATGTCGGGCTTTTTTCCGGTCCCATTTTTTCATAACTCGAGAAGTTTCAGGTAATTTCCGGGTAGAGCAAAAACCCGACCCAGTCCGGACCGATCTCACCCCTAGTTCCGGTTCACTATTCTGACGGTCAAATTAAATCATTTTTAATCTTTTACTTTATAAATCAAATTTGTTGAAATCCATAGTTTTAGGGATTCTATAAAAATAATCCAAACTAACAATAGTGTCCACAAGAATAAATTAGGGTGAATTTAAATTAATGCCCTTTTTAATACTATCAATCTCTACTCTCACTTTTCACTTCACCGCTCTTCTTATCGAAGTGAATTAAAACTAAAACCTGTTTAATCTTAATGTCATTTCCGCCATATGTGGTTCTTTCTAGGTTAGAAGATAGAAGTGTTATCTGAAAAGAAAAGTGGTGACGGGGAAAGTAGAGATAAGATTTGGGAGAATTAAATGGGAAATAATTTTAATTTACGTCAATTTATTTTTGTTGACACCATTGCTAGTTCAGATTATTTCTATGAATACTCTCAGTATGGTGTTGGAAAAATGTGCTAAAAATTGCATTAAATGGTCATTTTGGGGCAATTATTTGAGTGGAGTCCACTTCTGATTTGGGTCGGGTCAAAGTGGTTTCGGATTGTCCTTGTTAAGGGCTACAATTCGATATATGGTACGTTCAAAACGGATAACGGGTGAATGAGAAATTGATTCTCGAAG